GCTTTTACAACTGCTTTTTTCAAAGTACTCAAGGATTTGTATGACCCTAGCGACGAACTGCTTGTCTTTTGTACTGCCACTATTTGTGCTCTCTTTGCTTTCTTTTAGGCAATCTTTCTTTTTCTCTGAAGCATATTCTCTTTTCCTCATTTTGCTCCCACTCACGTCGATTTTTTTCTCTACTTCTTCTAGTCTACTCTTTTTGTTTTTCATGAGCTATACTCCATTTATCCTTGTCCTCCTTTATCTTCTCCCGAGATTTCCTCTTTCACTCTGTGGCATTCATCTAAAGGAAGCGAAAAATCACCCAAATCAAGTTCAAGTTAGGCGAAGCATATTCAAGTTAAGTCACATGTGACTGGTGGGACATATTTCAAAACAGTCTCAAAACCACAATATGACCATTTTAACTATTAAAAGATGTTAAAATAGTACACCACTTGTTTATTGTTACTTCTAGAAATAACTGAATTCATTAAGTCATATTTAAGGTTAGGAAAACAAATTTTATGTATTTTTGCGTGACTGGTGGGACACAAAAACCTGCACACCTTTACACTTTATTTTTTTGTAGTACTTTAGAATTTTCTCCGCTTTATGTAAAATGCACGCGCCTGCTTTATACAACTGACAAAATAGCCGAGAAGTGCGATGCTAACCGAATCAAAATTTATCCCAAAGGTAGCTATGTATGAAGAAAAACTTTCCATAGATAAAAATACAGTATTTTTTTATTTTTTAATATTTTTCAACAGATTAATGACATATAGTCATTTAGCTATATCTTACTACAGAAATATAGATAAATAACGGAATTTTAAAATTTATGTCGTTTTCCTATTTTACCTATTTTACATGGAATGCCCCAAATAGAGTTTATTGAGATTTTGTTATTAAATTGTTTGTTTATTTTATTTATATTATTTTTGCTTGCAGTTGCTGGTTTCTATTTAATGCTGCATGTTAAAATTTATAAATAACTACATTAATAAAGCTCAAAACAATGACAAAACTTATTTCAGTTTTACCTAATTTTGTACTTGTCCCACCAGTCACAACTTTCAATATTCTTTAATATGTCTATGATGGTTATATCGGCCTAGTTTTTAATGAAGACGAAAGAGTATAGTATATATTTTACAACGTAGAAAAATCTGCCTTAAAAAACTAAGTAGTTTGGCTAAAATTAGTCTTTGAGTGTACAAAGGTAAAACAGAAGGATTTTTCAGTGTCCCACCAGTCACATTCATTCTAAAAATAGTTACAAAGAACTCAGA